TTTGGACAATCTAAATTTAATAAAATTGTCTTTTCATATTTTTAATAAATTATTAATTTAATAGGTACAGATTGAAATTAAAAATAATTTTATGACCGTCACTTTAGCAAAAAATAAGTTTTATGTAAAGAATTACAGGTTAGAAATTTTAAATTTAAACCACTAAAAATAATTTTTGATGACTCAGATTTTATCAATCTAATGAGCACCAAAATTCAACCTCTTTCTACAGGGACAACTAATTCAGACATTGAGGTGTCTGCAATGTTTCAACATTTTTAATGAGATTGCCCTTAGCTGTTGGAAAGAAGATGTACTAAAAGAATGAATGTTCATAAGAAACAGCTCTATTATGCTATCATTGGATGTATATGTGTGTGTGGATTTGAATTTAAATTTGAGCCAAATCTCTTATTTGATCGTTTAAAAATTTATGGATTTCGATATTATCTTAATTTTTTTACAATATTCAAATAAATGTTAAATACATAAATTTAAATGTGATCTAAAATTCAAATCTAGCATTTTAAACACTACCTAACTTCATATTTTAAATCAAAATTATAGTAGGTCCTATAAACCTATCAAAATTTGAGATGAGTTGCATGATTATTATGAATTAGAATAATTGATAATTGATAATGTCATAATTATTATAGATGCATTGATATTTGATTCATCGTAATAGTCACAAAGGCCTTGTGGAAAGGATGGACGGCTTTAATTAAGGTATGAAACATAAAATTAATCTCCATCTTACAAATGTGTAAATTAAGACATAATCTTTATGCAAAAAAAAAAAAAAGATCTAATATGTGCATGAGTGAAAAAAAGAGAGGAGACGGTGGTGCTTGTTAGAACTTAAGGGGTGGTTTAAAGATCATTTCATGCTTAATATGAATGGTGATCACCTATCGATTGTTTAGTTCTGGATGTGTCTGTAGGGTCTTAAACTTGCTTGGGATCTTAGGTACCATTAAGTGATTCTTAAACCTAATTCTGTCAATGATAGACGGCCCAACATTCAAATATAAATGTCATCTCTAAAATTCAAGCTCTATTAGTTTGGGATTGGAGGGTGAAAGTTCATAAAATTTCATGTGATGCTAATGAAGTTGTGTACGTGCTTGCTAAACAAGCTTGATCTTGTGCAGCTAATTTTCGTCGTGTGTCTACTCATTTTCTAGAATTATTTTTCTACAATAGGACATCATAGCTACTTGACATCCTCCCTCATTATTAGAAAGACATAGAGAGAGGAGTTATCAAGATCGAGAGGGAGAAAGAAGATTATTAAATAGGTTATTAAATCAATTTTAGTTAAACTAGATCTATGCCTCGTGCGTGATGCACGAAAATATTTAAACTTTTGAGAATAAAAATAAAATAAATATTAAAAAATATTTTAATATTCTTAAAGTAAAAAATATATTTGTTCTTTATTTTATCTCCATTATAAATATTTTTAAATTTTAAAATTTCTATGAAATCAATGGTTAAGAGTTACAAAATATGAGTATTTTTTCTATTTTTAAGTTTTCATTTTCACCCATCTAATCATTAACTGATAGTTACTATTTTTGATATATTCTTTTAATTTTTTATTTATATTTTAAATTTATTAGTATACAAATTAATTTATTTAGTAATTTTTTAAAAAATATAAGATATTTTTAATCAAATCTAATCTCAAATAGAGTAGTTTTTTGTCTTCAAAATAACACCATCTTTTTATATTTATTATTTAATTGGGTGTTTCATTCTAAGGTAAATATAAAATAATTTATTCATTATGGGCATTTTTGAAAAAAAAATCAATTATTAAACTTTTAAACATTAAAAATAATTTATATTTTTTAATATCCAACTCTTAAGACATAACCTCTTAAAAAATGTCTTATATTTTTTAATAAAAGGAGTAAGTTTAGTAAAATAATATTTCAAATGCATATCTAAAAAAAAAACTTAATGGAATAAGAGATAAATTAGTCAGTATAATTTATATTTATATTTATTTAAATTTTATAATCTTGATTAATGAGACTAAAGTGTAAGTTTAGAAGTCCTTATAATTCTAACAAAATAAAAGGAATGTTAGTGTATTTTACTCTATAATTTATTAATTTGTGCAAATTAAAATCTAAAGAATATTGTATTTTAAAATTTTCCATGTTCATACATATTAAAAATATAAATAATAACTTATTTCATTTTAGAGTGTATTATCCTGTGTAGGTTAAAATTTAAAAAACACTTCTTCTTCATCTTTTTGTTTCCTGAAATATCCTCACAATCGGTAAGTATAAGATTAAAATTTTAACAAGATGATACTTATAAAAAATGACTTCTATGTGATACTCTTATACATATTAAAAAATATCATTATTTCTTAAAATTTCTCACATCCTGCAATTTGAAATATAATCTAACTTGTTTTTTTTTTCCTAAAATGTGTTACCCTGTGTATCACTTTAAGGAAAATAAAACATATACTACAATAAAACGTACTGTAGTTTATATGATAATATTATTTATAAAGCATAATTATAATGGTTCTAAGTCAACCAAATAATATAATTCATGTTTTGCTACCATTTATCAATCATATGTATAAACATTATAAGCAATACAATAATTATTAAGAAAAGATTAGGTGTACAGTGAAAGATAAATTTATTAATATTATGTAATTAATTTGTAGCCGATAAATTTTGTTGCTCATACTTGAGGTACATAATTGCATCAATATTTTTCATAAGTGTTCAAATCATAATCAACTTTTACATATAAATAATAGAGTAATAAATTTTTATTCCTTATGCATTTGAAGAATATAAATAAAAACTTATTTTATATATGTATATGCTCACACAAACTATTTTGATTTGTAACCTTGTGTTAACAATAAATACTTTTTTCGTTCAAAAATATAAGGTATTTATAGCTAAAACTCACCCTCAATAAAAGTGATTATTTGTTTTCAAATTAATCTCATTTTTTATATTTATCTATATTTAATAGGAAATTTCACTCTAAAATAAATATAAAGCGATTTATTCAATAGGGGTAAGTTTGAAAAAAAACAATGATTACATTTTAAATGATTAAAACTATCTTATATTTCTAAACATTCAACTCCTAAAAAAACACATTATATTTTTTAATGGAGAGAATATATAAAAAATTCTTTGTATATCCAACACCTATTATTTTACTAAAAATCTTATATTCACCATTAATTTTTAGTATAAAATCCAATATGGTCTCTCAAAATATAAAAATCTTATTATTTTTTACACCTTACTTAAATTTTTAAATTTATAAATCTAGACTTAGCTCATAATTTTTAATGGTAGCTCCTACACATAACTTTTTAAAACCACATTACTTTAATTTTTAAAAAACTAAGGTTATTAAAATATTACATTTTCTCCATTACTCTTAAAATCTCAATTCATACAGAGTTTAAAATATCTGAATATATAAAAAAAATTTATAGTCAAGTCTGACTCTTAACAATTTGAGTTTTCAGGTTTATTTATATTATTTTAACTACCTCAAATTATTAAAAATTATCTCATTTTATTTTTCTCTTTATTGAATCCATACACTGCGTCTTTGAATATCTTTTTTAACAAATTTATATATTTAATATTTTTAAAATTTTACAAAATAAATTCATTTAAATAATGCAAATTAATTTTTTGGTAATTTAAATGATTTTTGAATAATATTTATATTTAAATAAAGGTATTTTAGTTCAATATACATGATTTAACATTCAACTAATGGCTAGGTAGATGAAAATAAAATCTTAAAAATAAACAAAACTTATATTTTATAACTATCCATGTTAAAAAAAGTTCATATAGGTTTAAAAAAATAGATGAAATCTATCGTTAATTAAGATAAAAATAGACAAAATATTTTTTTCATTTTTAAGTATAAGTTTTGTATCAACAATTTATTTTTCGTAAATCTCACATGCATCGCTTCTATTACAAGGCCCACATTATTCTTTTCCTCTTTTATTTACTATATCATATTAAAAAAATAACAAATAAAAATATAAAAAAAGCAAGAGAACATTAGATGGGTGTTAGAGTTGAGAATAAGGACTAGGCTTGATGGGCCGCTCATTTTAGCCCGTTTTGAATAAGGGTTTGGATTTAAAAATTTGATGACTTTTAGGATAATCGGGTTTTGAAGCCTGACCCTTTTAAGCCCTAAAAAAGGAGCTCGGGCTTGGATGGCCTGCTAAGCTTGTTTAACTTTTTTTTTTTGCTTTTATATTGGACTTTGGAGAATGGCCGAATTGGGGTTGGACTTTTAGCTTCCAAAAAAACCCTACGTAGCACACTTGTACTCGGTTTCTCAGTCTCTCACTCTCAGTCAAACCTATGACAGAGTTGGAAATAACATTTTATTTATGGATGGTGATGAGGGAGATTTTGATTAGCATTGATAATGACTTTTGTCTTTATCTTATTTAAACTTCTAAATCTTGTGTTTATTTTTTAAATTATGTGAGACTTTGATTTGATATATCTTAAATTTTAAAATACTTTAAGTAAATTAAAATATTAAATTTTATTTTATTTTTTTTCCTTAAACGAGCTTATGGGCTCGGCCCTGAGTCCTTTGAAAAAGGGCCGAGCTTCAACTTTTGGGTGAAATTAGGGTAATTGAGTTTTCGGGCTTAGGTCCATAAAGGCCGAGCCCATATAAGTTAGGCCCGTCTGTTTACCAATTCTAGTGCTCCATAACATTTTTTTTTTAAAACGAAAAAGTCGGATCTACAGTACCATCTGACATCTGTATACAAGATAAAAAACCAGGAAAAAAACTGGGGGTATTTTTGGTAAATCAGTGTTCACATAAGTTATTTTATTCCTCAAGCCTCGCAGTCGCAGTCCACTCACTCCAATTCCCACATGATGATGATCAAGGGCCTCCGCTTCGCCACGTGGCATGATTACACCATTACGTGTCATTTTCCCTCCTTCTCGACCGCGAATTCAGAACTCGAAACCCGAGGAGTATGGAGTGACGGAGGCGACTGAAATGCACAGCGCCGGCGCGTGCTAATCCTCAACCTCCTCTACTCCGTAAGTGCCTATGCTAACCCTATTCCATTCGTTGCTTTCAATTGCCACGGTGCCCCATAGTTTGCTTCCGCTTCCACGATGGTTCGTTTTCTGTGTTAGAATATGTACGCTTCCGTAAGTGTTTTTTTTTTTTTTTGATGACAGAATTTTCGTATTCCTTTCATAATGGAGCATGATACCCTATAATTTTCCGGGAGACGGGTTAATTTTGTATCAAGACTTTAAGTCTCAAAGCGAGCATTGATTTCTGTCCGGTGCTCATTTTAGTTATCACTGTAGTGATTCCTGTGCGTTCTTTAATTCCCTTCCAGCTGAAAGGGTAGTCTAGAGTTGAGAAATCCTCTTTTATTTATGTAGTTTTCTAGCATTCCTCAGACAAGGACTAAATGATGCAGTTTTCACAATTTCAACGGGTATTGACAGAATTTCTGTCAATTACTTGTAGCAAAACATTTAATTCTTGCATGATCCAAGATCATTTGCAGTTCTGTACTCGCTTGCCTCAGAGTGAATGCCTGGGCATGTGGAGCTCTCCCCTCTCTATTAGCATGTGCCTGGGGAGGCTTCGCTTGGATTTGAGGAGAGGTTTACTATATAATAGAATGCAATTTGTCTTTTTTCCTCTGGTTTGGAGAAAATATTTGATGAATGCATACTGCAAACTGCGTGACATGCGGTACTGTTGTTGCTACATGGGACTACTTCTGTGCTATTCATGCGCAGCAATGGCTTCTCATTGCAAGAGGACAATATGTCTACAAAATTTTGTTTGTCTATGATTTATTTCTCATCCCGTCTTAATAGTATCATCCTTGCAGCATGGCTTCTTAGTTACTAGACTGCTAATCCAATAGCTGATGTTTCCCTTTGTGTTCTTTTCAGCTTGTACTACCTAACATATAACTCCTCAAGATGGAGATAAGTACAGCTAGGTAAGCATATTTGAAGTTAATTTTACAGATTGACCAGCTGTCTAAACATCACCATTGTTCTTCCCCGCCTAGTCTGCTCCCTTTTCCTCCTGTCCACCCAAAGTTTGAATTCTTTGTATTAATATTATTGAGGTTTGTCTTTTGTGATATTGCACTCATATGCTTCATTCTACAGTACTGCAGTACAGTAAACTCAATTTAGTAATTTTGTAAAAAGTAATTATAAAAATTACGATCTTCTTTATTTTATTAGGTGTTGTTTGGACTCCCAGCCACAGGCAATATTGTTTTCAAGAATATCAAGAACATCGGGGTGGGAAAGCACTCATAGAATTTCTTATAATATGACTGCCCTGAGTTTAAGGTTGGGCTATCGAGGCTTGGCCTCTTCCTACCCAATCTCAATCTTAAATGCAGTATATCCAAATAGGCCATGTTTCCATAGAGCACATTCTATGGCAACTAGTTTGGATGAGTCTACATGGCTACAGTCTGAAGGTGATTCTGATGAAGATGAGGATGCATCTGAAGACTCGACGGAGAAGATTTTGGAACAACCACTGACAAGTGAACAGGTAATTTCCAATTCTACTACATGGATGTCTACAGAAAGGCCAATGACTGCTAGTTGTTAATCTACCTCAGGGAAATATGGAATTCCTAATATTTTCCTTAATTATTTTTAAAAGCAGGATCTATTATATCTTAAAATTTTTAAAATCACTTTCAGGAGCTCTCAGTTCTCTTTTCCTGCTATCGTAAAACTCAAATAATTCTGAATTTCAGATAATAGCCTCTTGCCATTCCATTATAAATTGGAAAAAAAAAAATCAATTCCTGTCTTTACTATTTCTTTTATTCATTTATGTATGAAAGGTGATGCACCTATATGCTCCTAGTCACAGGGATTCTGTAAATTGTAAAAGTTGAAGTAGAAATGCAACTCTAATCTAGGACATGAAGTGCATAACTTGAGATGTATTATCAATCAGTAATTTTTGCAAGGCTCTATATACAATAAGTGAAGTCAATTGGAAGGATTGGTGTAAGGTGCAGAACTTGAAAAAGAAAATCTGTCTTGATCACAACTGACTCTTATAATGATCATATTTGGTTTTCATCTTTTCTGTTTATTACCACTGTCCACTGCAAGGAGGAATGGTAAAAATCTATTAACTCACGTTACAGGGTTGAGTTCCCATGCAGATTTGTGCTTACTTAAGTTTACCTGTTTCTTGCACAATATGATTGTGCTTTCTGTTGGATTTAATTTTTCTACTTGGATCTTTTTCTTTCTCGAAAAGATAGCAGCACTACTTGCTGATACTGAGAGAGCGAGGCTTACAAAGAAGCTTAGTGAAGCCAACCAACATAATCGGTTCCTCAAAAGACAGGTCTGATCAGATATTTTGGATTGCTCTTAATTTGAAATCTAGGTTTTTCCGTATAACTATTTCTCAAGAGTCTGGGTTTCTTCTCAATCTTCTATAATATTGAATATATTAGGTTTGCGTTTTGCTCACAAACTATATAGATATCTTCCGTGGTTGATTGTCAATGGTTGGCTAGAGAAATAATTGGAATGTTTAGAACAGCCATACGTCAAAATCTAGTTCATGGGGATAGAGAACAGGAGGTCAATGTTAATTCCACATTAGAACCCATACCCCCTCATGTGGAACTCAGGTCCCATGCATTGCAATCGGTTTGAACATTACCTTAGATGTCTATGCTAGAATCAAAAGCAACAGAATATGTTTTATCAAGACAACTAATTTGGATGTTGCATCTTCCCTATATGATACTAAAACAAGATTATGATCTATGGCTGTATTATTGGTAAAATAAAATGTATTAATAGAAAAACAGCAGACAAGTGGAATTGGATTTGTATATCACGTCAAAGTGGAAGAAAGTGTGAATTTCTTAAGTGTTTTTAGGTCTTTTGATATTGTTGATTTTCTGTATTAGGCTAACTGCAAGTCCATTCAGATAATGGGAATTGTTGCAATTACATGTTTTATTAATTACCAGTCAGGGCTGACTCATCCACTGGGATAAATTTGGAGCACACATACCAAATTAGATGCTTTAAAGATTAAGTTATCCAATCTAACTATCTAATGCCATATGCATGTTTATCTTTTTTGAATCAGTTAATCAATCGTAGCGTGTTTGGGTAGACTTGTGCATTCTAATTCTTGGTCTTTTCTTAATTTTTATTTTCTTCGTGGAAGTTGGTGGTCCTTTTTGAACTCAACTAATAATGGTTCCTGATTTCATGTTGTAACTATTTTTTGTGGGGATTCTTTCGTTTACATTGTAAAAATATAAAAACAATTGTAGGGAATAGAATATTAACTAGGTGTGGCCACCATGCTCCACCGTTCAAATTTAAGAATGTGTAAAAAAAAAAAAAATGTTGGCATGCAATCTAATGGATGAGCTATGTTCGTGATTTATGAATAATGCGCTTCTCTTTTACTTTTATATGTTTATAAGAAACCGCCATCCTATATTGATCTCTGTTATCTACAGTTGCAAATAAAGGAGGAATCATTGGTTAACTTTAAAAGTGAACTTGCTGTCATGGAGCTTGAAGTTCAGGTTAAAATCAATTTCAACTTCTTTACTTTCTGTGCCGTTTTCATGCTGCCTAACATTCTTCTTGAAAGATATATGCTGCCTAATATTATGCCCAGCAGTCTGTGATTTTTACTACACCCTCTAGTTCTAAATGTAAGAAACCGTTGAGAACTTTGGTTTGGTCCTTAATGTAAGACCCCATCCACTTTTGTCTACCACATTAATTATCTTTTCCTGGAGTACCCCTATTCAATGCCCCATTTTTACACTGCAATCTGCAAAGGAAATTATTAAATAGAGTGAATTAAATAAGTGGGGTATTTGAGGAAAACTATCACAAATTGTTAACACATTAATTGCAAATTATTAACTTTATTTCTTAATCTCTGTGAAGTTGGTAAAAAGCTCTTACAATTAGAACCAGAGGGAGTGTCTTGTTTTGTATGAGTCTTTATCATAATGTCTTTCATTTCATTGCTTTGAGCTTGAGTCATGAAATTCTGTGGAAGGGCGTTATGAAAACTAATCTCAGCCTTTGCTTTTTCCTGAATTTTTAACTTTTCATGTTTCTATAATTTTGGCTGAATTCAGATTCTGAAAGCTCCAAATATATCAGCACTTTATTTGTAACTATGATGTTCGTTGTGGGAATTACCAATTCTGCTCCCATGTACTCATGTTCTATTGATGACATTAGACTAATCTTGCTTTGTGTGAACTGTTCTAACTTGAGATTAGCACACAAATTCCACCTTCGTAATGAATTATGGGTCATGTTTCCCTCCTACATCGTTACTGAAGTTGTACCTTGACGATGCTTGCCTTTGCCTGTTACGGTGTTATATTCTCTATAATCAAATTTGATGATTGAAACTATTATAAGTAGTTATATAATCGTTTGAATAGCTAATCTTAATTCGATTAAGATTTTGATGACGAAAGCTATTAATGTTAATATTATGATAATGAGAATGAGATAATGATATGTCATCTTATAAATTAAATGCTATTTAATCCTCTACTCAGTTTAATTTGCGATTTCTAATGACAAACACCTTTGTAAATTTTTCCTCTATGATGTTTAAAACTCTTTTCAGCTGATTAATATTGTTTGCGAATCTCTGATAATGTTTGCTTTGGATGAAGGCTTTGGTCAAACTTGCTGAAGAAATAGCTCAGTCTGCTATTCCAGGAGGTTCAAGGAAGATCAAGGGAAAATATATTCAATCTCACCTTGTTTCTCGTTTAGAAGGTAGAATGGTGTTGCAGTTCTTCTGCATGCTCCATATGAACTGGTCCATTTATGTAATGCTAATGAATAAATTTCAGGAAAATTATATATAGATTTACTTGATTTCATGTGATCATTATGTATTCATTTTATATAATACATGCAATTTCCTACTTTTGAATATGTTACTCGAGGGGGTAGGGGTTTCTCTAGTTCTGATAAATTGTTGCCTCTTCCATGTCTTTGTCGATGCATATGCAATGGTTTGGCCTCCAAAGCTGTGCATGAGAAATTGAAGGAACAGATAAAGGATGTAGATTCAGTTCAATCCAAAGAGGTTCCTGTATTTTGGGTTGGCATGGCTGAGGTAAATATGGAAGATAGTCCTTCATTTATTCTATGGAAACTTTAATCTGAATCATGGAAACAGTGGATAGTTTAATGTCAACAAAGTTGCTTTTGCTGCCATATCATCTGAATCAACTAATTTTGTATATAGGACTGAACATTGGCTTCATTTGCCAGTGAATAGAATCTAGGAAGAATGGCAAATAAATCCCATCGAAATACAAATAAGTACCACAAAAGGCAGTAGTTACTTTGAAGTCCCCAAGAACTTATCTGACAAATTTTTTTTTTGGGCAAAATTATGTTTTTGACCCTAAGCAAAATAATAAAAAACATAGTTGTTAATACCTAAAGTTAATAAAGAATATAAAGTCTTTATATCAATTACCACATTTCATGGTGCTATTTGGTCATTTGTTTATTTTGAGGGAATTTATTTGTCATTTTCCCAAGAATCTATAATATTATTGTGAAATACTGCATTTCTAAGCTTTTATATAATGTTTTGGTATTTAGTTTGTGTCTGGTTAACGTCTGAATTATCTGTTTATTCTGTCGTATTTTTGCTCTTAACTCTTAAGAGCGTGCAAGTAATGGGCAGCTTTGATGGTTGGAGCCAAGGAGAGTACCTATCACCAGAGTATGATGGTTCTTATACAAAGTTCTCATCAACATTGATGCTCAGACCAGGAAGGTGCCATTTTCTCAACTAAATGAAGTTTCGAACCTGGTCCTTTAATAGCCGTGAGTCTTCTCTTGAGCTATAAATGTCTTGTGCAGGTATGAGATCAAATTCTTGGTGGATGGTGAATGGCAGCTTTCACCGGAGTTTCCCACTATTGGTGGGGGATTAACCAAAAACAATCTGTTAGTTGTGGAATGATTTGTATGCAGTTTGCAGAAGCATATGTAGTTTTTTCAAGTGTTTGCCATATCTTCCACTTGGACAACGTGTTAGTTCCTTGTGAATCAAATTGTTCTGCTAAATTGGGTTGAGGCCATATTTTACTTAGACGAGTCAGTGCAGCTGGGTCCCGTCGGAAGTGCATGTAAGTAGGTTTACTTGCTGATTAAAATTACAGTACATACAGTGAGAAACTAGTCTTTATATTAAATGTTATTTACGCGTTTGAATAACATTTTTATGCAACATAAAGTGAATGCTGTTACAGCTTCGGCCAACTGAGATTCTATAAGGCTTAGAGCATGTTTGGATTGAATCTTAAGTTAGGAGAGATCAAACCTAAGTTAGGATCTTAAAAGCCTTATTTATCATGTATGGATAGCAAAAAATAACCAACCTTAGTTAGGGTTCAAACCAACGTTTTTGCCAAACCTCAACCATCCAGCTTTTCCATAACGTTGGGTGTCCAAATATATGAATGTTGGAGCATCAAATGCTTTTTCAATTTTTTATTCTCTCTCTTCAGTTGCTTGCTCTCTACTCAGATCATCATCATTGCCGTTCCTATGGTTGCTCTGGCTCGCCCTTCATACTCCCAACCTTGTTGGATTTGATGAGAGATCACAGCTACAGTCGCTACCGCCACCGTTGTTGAGACCCGATTTTCACCGTGTGTGCAGTGTGTTGCTCGCATTGATTTATCGTGCTGTCTTCCCTCTCTTCATTTACGAGTGGCATGATTTCTCTTCCTTTGCCTTCACAAGTCTCTACTTTTATGAGTGTGCTGGTCACCATTTGATCTCTCACTGCAAATCTGACTAGTGATTATGCTCACCATTATTGTTGTCTGATCTTTCGTCGATTGAACCAGTGCTCATGGTGTTTTTGGCACGAACGGAGATAGTCTAGAGCATAGCAAAGCTGACTTGCATGGAGAAGACAAGATAAGTAAAGAAGGAATGTGTTGTCAACGGCGAAGGTGATGTCTATGAAAATGTTGCAGATGAGGTCGAAGAAGGTGGTGTCGATGAAATATAGCGTTTGGCGAGGTTGAGACCGAACTACTGGTGCTTTTGCAAGAGTAATCCAGTATTATAAATAATAGTTAATAGTTAATATTTAACACCTCATTTTATATATATTGTTTTTCTAAATTTAAATTTAAAGTTTAATTTTTTTAAAGAAGATCAAGTTAGACTATTTATTAAATTTTAATTATATATAGACTATAATTTATCATTTCATTCATGCTCTTTTTTTAAAATTTTGATTTTTAAACAATTAATTTATTTAGATATTTTAAGTCTAACTTTTTAAATGTAATCTAAAGTATATGATTTTTTTCTAAAAATATTAAATTAGTCACAAAAATATATACAACAAAATTTATGCTCATTTTTATCATTATATATCTTAGCTGACTTATGAATCAAATCATCTAAATAATTTTCAATTTATTCAACTGATTTATAAAAAAAAATATTTAAATATAAATTACATTAAAGTCATAAATTTTTTTTCTAACATCAATTTACTAATTTTAATTGAATTTTAACTTTAGTTGTAAATTTTTTAATCTGAACACACATTTACTCTTGTAGGGTTTAAGAAAGAACTGCCGAAGGAACTTGGTCCATCACAATCATAATTAAGCATTCTTACCTTTACAATTAAGTCCTTAAAAAAAATTATACAAATACAAATCAAAAGGGATTTACATCTATGCCTTGAACCCCTGCATTGAAAATTAGAAAGAAAATGTTTACACACAATTACCCGTGCGTTTGGAATTGAATTTTAAAATGGAAGGGCCTATATTAACCCAAAGAGAATTGGTTAAAAAAAAAAAAAACACGAGAGAAATCATGTGGTTTAGTGACGCTTGTTTATCCGTGGGTGCTGTGAATATGGTCAAAATTAAAGGCACTTATCTAAGAACAACATGAAGAAGAAAATCAGATACAGTTACATTGCTCGAAAAGAATGTTTCAATATATAATAACAATAATGTGATAATTAATAGTTAAATAATAATATAATAATAACAATAATTTCTTGTAGTTAGATAGGTACAAGTAAATAAATCATGGAATGAACTTTTTTTATTCATAGTTCGTGAAAAGTTTATCACAAATTTTATATTTGATATGATATATATAATATATTAATTGATATCAAAGTAATTTTTCATTGCCCAAAGCTAAAAACCATGTATTACCAGAAAAAGGAAATCTGGTCTAATAGTATGAGAAAAAAGGATCAAGTAATGTTAACCAAAGATTATGTAGTTTGAAGATATTCCCATGATAAAAATGATAATTAAATAATGATATCTCATTTTTGGTCAAAATATTATCTCACTAATTCATCATAAATTAAAAATAAATTTATTTAATAACTTGGTGTTCCCTAATACCAAGTTTGATTTAATTTTAGTCGTTTTTCTAAATATATTTTTTCATCCGCAGGCTACAATGTTCCAATCTTGAACCTAAATCCTCTACATAACCACCATTAAATAAAATGAATATTTTTAACTGCACATACTAGACTTCATAACATGAGTAGGAAAAAAGTTAGAAAATCTCTCCTAAATGATAGTAAAGAGACTGAAAATATTAAGTAATATCTACCATAGATTAACTCGAGTAGTAACGATTGATGGATTGATAATAGAAATTTAAGATTTGAATACTTTTGATGTAACCAAGAAAAATAATAAATGTTAATAAGAATAATTATTTTTTTAACTAATGTTATTTTTATTAACGCTTTTTATTAATTATTAATGTTATAAAATAATTAATGTTTTTTATTAATTATTTTTAAAAATAGTAGAGAGATTTAAATGCTTTCGATGTAACCAAGAAAAATATTTTGTGTTAATAAAAATATGAAAAAATGCATCAACAAGGTCTTAAGTTTTACTTAATTTTGAATTAGAATACTGCAGTTTATTTTATTTAATTGAGTCTTTATAATTTGATCAATTAAATTTTTTAATTCTTAAAGGTTAAAGTCCTTAATTTTTTTTAAAAAAATAAAATCAAGAACTTTTATATTTTTATTATATGATTATATAAATTTAATATTAATTAAATACTTTTTATAACTCAAAGTTTATATAATTATTTTTTATGCACTGAGTTTAAATAAAAAATAATAAAATTGTAAACAAGGTATTAAATTAAATTTTTTTGTAAATTCCAAGATTATTTTTGTTTTATAAAATTTTATACTTCATTATTAATTTTAAACTTTAGGGGTTAACATATATAATAAATTAAACTATAAAGGTTTGATTAAAACAAAATAAACTACAAGGATCTAATTTAAAATTTAACAAAACTATAAAGACTTGCAGATTAATTTTTTCTAAAAATATTAAGTTCTCATTTTTTTTTCCTGGGTCACCTCTTCAAATTTTTTTTGGATTTAGGAGATTCTATTTATTTCGGTTTAGAAGAAAAAGGAAGGACCAAAGTCTTTACATAATCATCCAGTACAAGCTCTTCTTCATCTTCTTAACATTTTTTTGAAGGTACTACAAACTACTCCATGGGATTGTTACCTAGAAGTGACATTGTCATTTTCTTCTGCTGAGGTACCTATTGCTTTCAAATCAATTCCCCACCACTCACTCTTTAGAGGAGGCTTGAATATTGAAATAAACTGTATAAGTTTCATCTCTGAAGGAGTATAATGGCTCCAAAAGATAGTTCCTCTTTGCTCCTTTAGCCAGAAAACTGATAGGATTATACCTGCTTAGTCCCTCTCTTGCTATGAAGCTAGCAGCTTGCTTGAAATTAGTATGAGACTTAGACTTGCATTTGAGCTTCACAATTGCACCAGAGCCGCTACTACACACAAAGCAACCCTTTTTGCTTTCTGATTCTAATGATATAGTTCCCTTTTGTTCATCCAATCCTTTTACTACATTGAAAACACTAGAGACCCCACCATTGGAAGAATGATCCACAATGACATTACTATTTTCTGCTCCTTGGTGCTTCAAGAGCATTCCAGGAAGATCAAATGGTTCCAACATCACTGATTCACCAATAATAGAATCCTCTCCAATTGTTGAAGACCTTTTTGAGGAGGATTCACTAGAGATAAGTCTAAAGGTTGCATGAGGAGCCAATGCAGTTCCAGGTTTAGGTGATTTTATCATCTTAAGAGATTGATCTGAGTTGGTCAAAACAAAAGTTGAGCCAGAAAGGTCTTGAGAAAAAGTTACTAGGTGACTATTGTAACTTGCAGGGATTGGAGTAATCCAGTCATCAATGGATGCATTTGAACTAACTGTAATGTTCCAATCACCATTGGTATGACCAGCAAGAAGATATGGACCATAAAGAATTGCTTGAATAGAAGCATATTTTGACCTGTCATCTGATTTCAATTCAGAAAACATAATGAGTAATAAGAAAAAAAAAATTCTTTTCTTGAAAGTGATAATAGTGACTGGCATACATGCATTAGTACCTTTTATAGCCTCAGTTCTAAGAGTAATGGGCAATTGAAGGGTCAACTTGTCACTGGCACTCCACTTTTGTGTGATTGACAGAAAGTTTCCTAAATGTGCACGAGATAAAATGAAGAGTTCAATAAATAAAAAGACAAAATGTGACAGTAATATGTTGATTTAAGAAACATGTGCTTGAAATTATAGGGATAAAAGAAATTTTGTTGAGACAGACTTCTTATTCCCGTGTTTTTTCTGAGAGATTCTAGATGAAGAGTTCTAGTACCAGGAGATAACATAGATAGGGTGTCAGAATTTAGTATTGCCTTGGCATTGTCCAAACGAGTCCACACTGGTATCCGGAAGTTCAATGTGGAAGAAGAACCAGATCCCTGCAAAAGTGAACATTTCAATGTATACCCCATCAATTGTCATTCAGCCAATTCGTTTAGCAATTTAAAAAAAAATAAATAAAATAAGGGCAAACTACTGCATGTCTGTGTCAAGTCGAGAGAAATTTTTGGCATCATATATGGATCTTATCTATTAGGGCAATATTAAATATAAAATATATATCTGTTATTACATAGGGGGAAATTAATTGGAGGTCAAAATTCTAATGGACTGATAACTGATTCATGCAAAAGCAAGTATCATTTGTAAAATTGAGTGGTTAACAATTCTTGTTATTGACTAAATCTACAGGGCTGAAATATGATAGTAGCAATCTGTTTTCAGAAATCATATTCCAAAATTGTTTGTCAAGCTTAAGGTAATTGTTGGTAAAATTATAAATGATCATAATTAATA